GAGGTTTGCGGGGGCGGGGGGGTAGATGAAGCATCTCTCTTTGAGCTACTGCAGGCTTATCTCAGTCTTTATCTAGACTTTTCTGCAAGGGGCAAAACCTCTTACTCTGGAGTTTTTTCTCCAGGCCCAAATCTAATAGGCCCTGATATTTCCAGATGTATCATATTTTGAAAGAAGTCGATTGCATTTCTTATATTTGAAAGAGATCTATCATATTTATTAGGATAGTTTTCCAATAAAAGTAGATCACAAAGGTTTCTTTTTTGTTTGTTTAGCAAAAGAACCAGATTGGAGGCACTCTCAGACTTTCCTAGTGCTAACTATTAGAAGGTATAGTGCAAAAATTCTACACTTATTTTCTTTAATAAATATTTTCTAGAAATAAAAAGTGGATGAAGCAAAATAAAATACAAAAGAGCTATAAATTTAATGTTACAACATCTGGCTCCACCCTTCCCACAGTAAAAGCACTTCTGATCCAAAAAGGCAGCAGTTACAGGAAAGCACTGGGCACCTTCAAACTACCAGCAGGTAAATGATGCCCAGCAGAGCAGAATACATGCAAGTCACATATAATTGTATTGAAAGGGAGAGAGAGTGGCTAAAGTTTAATACTAGATCTCACTCACCATGATCATGCCTGAACACTGTCCACTGCAACATTCCTTACATTAAAGAATTTCCTCTATGTATTTTTAAGCTATTAGCTGCTACTTTTGCTTTAAAGTTTTACTTTTAATGGCATGGTATAGATGCTTTACAGTGTTAGAGAAAAGCCAGGTAATGTTTGTAAAAGAGAAAAATAGGTGATGCCTGCTTCACTAAATATATTGGTCTGGATATATATTAACCCTACATCAATTAAATTGTTCTGAAGATTGGCTCAAAAAGAGCAACAGGAGGCATTAGAGCATATTATTAAGGCAAAACAGAGTCGCAACGTTAATGCTTTAGATTTTTTTTTACTGATGTCACTGATGTACCAGGAAAGCCCAGGGCAAGGGTACAGAACCTCAGCACTGGGAGCCATATCTGGCCTACCTGGGGTTCTTCAGATGGCTCCGCCTCCTTTCTTTCAACCACCAATAATTGGTGACTTTCCAGCTTTCCAGCCCACCCACCCCTTGAATGTACCTCTTGAGTTTCTCTGAAATGGAATTGGACCCTTGGGCTGAAAGAGAATTTGCACTCCTGACCCAGGAAGGCCATGGTGAAGCAGCTTCCACTCTACTCTGCTAGCGAATACTTTGGATAGGACTTCTCAAATTGTTAGCAAAAAACACAGAAAATGCAAATGCATCCATAATGGGGAAAAATATTTCTTTGTAAGTTGGCAACATTCTTCTTCCTGAGGATTCCTAATTTGTATTCCATGGGTTGTGAACAGCTTCCAGATCATTTTCCAGTGGTCTCTATGGAGAGCTTTAGCTGTTTCATCTTGGCTTCTCCACCTTGTTTCCATCAGCCAAACCCCATTAAATGTGTTCTGCAGTCCCTTAATAGATCCTTGTGGTACAGGAAAGCTGTCTTGCAGGTTTTTATTTGATCGCCTTGTCAGTGGGATGGAGGCAACTGATTCCGCCGTAAATGTGAAAGTAGTCCACAAAATAATCTGTTTATTGATTTTAGTGCCATTACACTGGGTTATGGGGGAAACACACTAGAAATTCCTTTAGACACACACTAACTATTCCTCAAACTCGCAGCAATGTTTAGCACATGGTTCTAATGTATGATATGAATTTGTTTCCGGAAGTAGTTAACATTAGGAGGCTACATTAGGTTCTGATATGTAGTAAAAATATTTATATTTCATTCAGAATTTCCTGTGTTTGGTTCTGTGTGTGTGTAATATTGCCAGCTTTTGCTTCTGTATTAAAAAGAATGGAAATATCTAACTTTAGCTTATTCTGTATCTGGGATTGCCTCCTACCATATTTCCTTCCCTCTCTATCCATGCTTTTGGGCACTCTAACGAGAAAACAAATTACACAAAGGCCACTATGCCCTGCACAGTTCCTTTGAAATGGCTTGCTTTGAAATGTGGGCTTACTTTGAAGTAAAGACATGCTGGAGACTGGCGACAATTTCTAAGAGGTTTTGAAGGTGAGGAGAGAATGGCATGCACACACATCCCCCTATTGTCTCTGGTAAACACATTGTTCTCAGGTTTGTTCAGCGCCACAAAAACCAGTCACACCTGATTGACCAGGGAGATGATAGCTGGACAAAAAATAAACAGTGAAAGGGCATACGCACATTATGGCTAAAATTTCCTTTATATCATACCATGTTCAACTCTCTCAAGCTCTCTGAAGGTTTTCAGGGACTAACAATGGGATAGCATTGTGTAGCTACTGTGACTTTTGTTTTCCCTGGGATGAAGCAAGTGCTGGGAGAGCATAGGAAGTTTATGATTAAAAGACGACCTCTGGACCTCTTGTCAACTTCTGCAAATGGCATAGTGATGGTACAATAAAACCCAGTCTGTCTCAGCCATGATTAGGGTTGAGCTTTAAGAGCCAATCTTTGGCCTGCAACAAAACGCAACAGAATGCAGAAGCAGGTGCATAACACCAAGCCCTGGGAGTGCATTCCACCTCTTTTTCGAGGGACTCCCCCGCTCCCCCAAGCTCTTTTCTTAGACAAGCAGCAACCATCCTTGCTGATGAGCTGTTACTAAGAAGAGGCACACTGTTAGCTTTTCAGGAATGAAGTGCTGCTTGTGAAAGTATTGTGAGACCAAGGATGGGCCCACAGGGCATCAGATCAGCCCTACAACTAGGTCATCACACCATAGAAAGGAGTTCTAGCAAGGATTTTTTCCACAACAGTAATAGACAAGCAACAGAGCTGCCCAGCGCTATGCATTTGTCCTGCATAAGATGCATCACAATAGTTAAGCCTTGGCTAAATCCAAGAGCTGGCAGATACTACCTGTACAATCAAATTTCTGAGAACTAATAGGAATGAATAGTTTGCTCATTGCTGCAGATAATCAGTTTTCCAGGGCAAACAACAACAACAAAAGGCCTAGTTCAAGAAACTTCTGGGATATGGTGCATTTTGTATCTATCTTCAGTGGGGAGATCTTGGGATTCTAGTAAAATAGATCTTGCAAGCTTGAATTTTGTCTTCCCTGCCCTAAGGCTTTCAAGCATTCCTTCCTACAGCAGCTCCATTGCTCCCTCACCAAAATTTCCACTGAGGGTCAGAGAATCTCCAGAACAGCCCTGGATAGAGAAGGAAAAAGAACTGTATAGAACTGAGCATCTTATGTATGAATGAAATACTTTAGAAACATGCATGAGGCATTTTGGATCTCACCATGGTTAGGAATATTTCTCCCTTTAACATCTTATCAAAACTTATTGTTTAAACATTCCCATTCCAAGTGCCTGTGATTATAAAGAACAATTACATTAGTTCTACTTGAGTTGAGCTTTCAAGCCTTGTCTTCCGTTTTCTTTTCTCTTGGCAAAATGTGCTAAAGTTTTGGTTTTTTTTTTTTAAATCAAGTAATTTAAAGTAGGTTTCTCAGTTACTCAAGGAACCATCCAACATCCTGGAAGTCACTAAGTTTTGAGGCACTAAAGGAGAGGCTGTACCTCTGGGAAAAGACATGTGGACAGAGGCTACACACAGATGGTCGGCTTCCCTCTATATGCTATTTCAGGTGTCAGGTGGGAAACGTTTAATTAGAAACTCACTCCAACCATCTGAATCTATCTGTTTTCTGCAGTGATCCATTTCAGTTTGCTAAAAGAAGAGTTTTAATGTTGAACTGTTTCAAAATTGATGTTTATTTCAGATGTTTCTTTCTAAGTTTTTATACAATTAATGGTACTGAGAAAAATATTGCCCTTTTATTACAAGCTAGGACAAAACAAAACAATATTCAAGGGGATCTTGAAGAAAGAAATACTAAATAACCCACCCTCATTATCCAAAGCTTGTAATGATAAACATTTCAGAGAAATAACTGGCAATCCTTTGGTCTCTAGCATCTCAGAGCCTGTAGGAGAGAGTGGAAATGTCCCTCCATTGTAAGAGAAAGAGCTCATCTCCAAACCACCCCCCACCCGTCTCTTAGGGGGAAAAAATCTGTGTCCATCAGCTCTACAACATGAGAGAGGAAGAAACAGGGAGGATTACCAGTGTGGGGTGGGCACAGCAGAGTAGGGTCTGGTTCCAAGGCTCTCTGAGGCCCCTGCTACACCTTTGACACACTCTGCTCTACTGGTCTAAATGAAATCCTTCTACTGCTCACCATGGGGAGAAAATAAGTTTTAAAACCACCCTCCCAAATGAAGGAAAAGAGGCAAATGCCACTCTTCCCTCACTTCCACATTGCTGGCAGGAGCTTGGCAGAGCTTTGGAAACACTGGTGCCTGTGACCCCGCAGTGTTCCTACCTAAAAACAGGATTATGCCCACCTTCACATAATAGCCTGCTGCAGAAAGCATAGCTCAACAACTCTGGCTGGTGAAAAACAGAACATGATCTTGATCCTGTTGTGGACAGTACTCAGTTTTACACCTCCATTATGAAGTTATTTGATATTTGGTGATGCGAGTTAAAAACAACAGCCTGTCCACGCACCCACCTCCTTGCCAAACCATCAACCAATCCCGCTTAGCAAACAGGCCAGAACTCAGTGGGAGAGCCTATGCCTTGCATTCAGGTGGTCAGAAGTTCCATCCAGGTAGAAGTGGGAGGTAGAGCTTCTCTGAAACCCTGCAGAGCAGTGGCGGCAAGTCAGGGCCAACAGATGGACTCCGTGTAAGCCATCTTCTTAGGTTTCCATCCATCCAAGACCAAAGGGATTCAGATACATGGACAAATTCAAGAGCAGTACTTTTGCATTTTAGGGCATGTCTATAGAAAAACCAGTTCTTAAATTTCTATCAAAAAGTACTTTAAAAAATGAAACACTCAATAGCTCTCACCAAAACCCACATCTACAACTGCACTATGCTTCCTTGGGAAACATTTCCTGCTTAGGGTTGGTAAAGATGCCGAGAAGATGGAACTGTATTATTCTCAAGGGAGGAGTTTCCAAGGAAGCAGTAGGGCATTTCTTTTCCATGACTACATTCCTGGGGATGAAGGACAGTCATAACAAAGCCAACTATCATCACTAGGACACCAATCGCAAGGATCAGCCCAGAGAGAAGGTTATCCAAATGGGTCCATCGCTCTTCAGAGAGCTTCAGATAACAGGCTGCAGGCAGAATGAAGACCAGTGGAGTTGCACTGAGCGCTCCCTACAAACCGGAAGCAAAACACAAAGAGTGGTGAGCTTGATAGGCGTGATTCTATAATCCATTATATATAAGGTATTTAGGAGAAAGTGGAACTGGGGGAAAAGGCAGCTGCTTTCAATGGCTGGATTTGCAAGTAACACTAACTCCTGGTAGTGGGACTGAATTTTGGGTTGTTCTGATGGGCAAATCCAGCTGTTCCAACAAACCATGGAAAGACAGAAAGAAAACCCATGGATTGACATTGTATTGTAAAGCGTGGGTTGATTAAACCATAGGTTACTGCTATATGTGAACTCAGAACTGTGGGTTGTTTTGCCAGGCTACAAAGGTCATGGGCAAGAATAGTCCAAAGGTCCCACCTCCTCTTTATGACAGTAGTATAGTGCTGCAAAGGTATTTCGGATACACTGAGGGGCAGGAACTGAGACTGGGACTGAGAAAACAAACTAAAGTTTGAGGAGTAACTAACAAATCCTGGGTCAAAGTGTTAACCAAGGATTCAATAAAGGATGGGTAGGTCTAAATGTCTAAAGATGGTCACTGGCTGAAACAAAAAACTAGCATTTTTACAGGTATCTCAGACTCAGTTTTCTAAGAAAAAAAATGCTTCATAGTTAGGCGAACACAAAAGGGCATCCTAGATCAGCTTATGGCTAGTCTTACAAGGTGTTACCCTTCTGCTAAAAGCATAGACACCACATGAAGCTTGAATCTGCCCCCCCAACCCCCCCCTCAGAGCAGATGGGGGAGTACATGGAGAAGGGTGGATGGAAAACTCCTGTTGCCAGAAGTATACTCATGTAGTGCTGGATTTAGCCCTAAGCCTTTATCCCAATTCTGAGATCAGCACGGCAATTTCAAGCTCTTTACACTGTTTGTGTGTTGAATTCCACCTTCTGGCAAGAGAAGATGGGACTTAGCTGAATGTCCTGCCTCTAAATTTGGCCCTGAAGCACATGGGAGCTTCAGAATAACCCTCCCAATTTTTTGTTCTGGAAAAAGCATGTTTCTGTAGAGTCAGAGAACAGGTTATTGTCTTGGCGCTGGTGCACAGCCCGTGTCTCCCTGAAACATATCCTGAGAGTGTAGTTATTTTATGAGGTTACAATTAAAGAGGTATCAAATAGAATGTAGTTGTCATGTGTACACTTACACTTAGCTCTAATACTATTCCCAGACAATCATACACTAAGGAAATGCTTGTAGCTACAGCAACAACAATCACTGTCAAAATAATGTGGAAAAGGGTTGTAAGGTTCCCATTGAAAAACACGTTTGCGACTACCTGGAACAGAAACACAGTTTTAGGCACTGCTGTGACAGGTTGTTCATTTGAATGAATGACACAGTCCATATCTCACATGTTCAAGTTATGTGCTAGGCAGGGTTTGTTTGCCTGCTTTCCAATGACAGTCCTGCTTAGAGCAGATTCACTGAAACAGAAATTAAGGCAAAGATTGGATACAACCCACTGCATACACGTCCAAAACAGAACTTCATTCAAATGTCCTCCCCACCACACAATAATACACACAGAATTTGATTTTGAAAACGTTTCCAGGACCTTGAAGTTGGCCAAATGTGGAGTCTGGAAAAAGAGATCAACAGTTGGACCTAGAGTGAAGGCTCTGAGTCATCACTGCATTATTTAATTTTTTCAAAATCTTCCAAAAAGCTGACAGAAGATCAAAGATTCAATGTAAATTAGAATCAAACAGAGGTCATACAGATCCAAAATGAAAACTATGCATGATCTGTATCCGTAAATCCATAGTGTGTCATCTTACATTCTTATTTCAACATTTTGCATGGAGCATAATTCCAAAGAGGTCTTGTTAGATTTATAATTGCCATAATTTCCTACAATATGTAATTTTGTACATCAGAATATTTTAGCACATAGCCCATCTTCCTTTATCCATTATCAGGCACTGGGCAGCATAGAAATAAAATTATTATTTATTAGTTATTTAACTTTAACAACAACAACAACCAGCAGTGTTGTTTTCAATGCCTAGCCACTGGTATAGACACCACTGTTAACGTATCTCTTTATATTACAGTGGAACAAACGGCCCATCATGCTAAAATTTACCCTCAAGGAGCTGTGTCATGTGTTAGCCACCATTGCAAATATTCAGCCCCTGTTAACTTGGTGGCATCATGAAGTAACACTGGACACTGATTATTTTAGGGTTTCAGAAATTAACAGTGACTCACAGCATTCTGAGGAATATGCATGATTAATGCTTACCTCTCTGGTAACAAAACACTCTATTGGAAAAGTTAGGATGACAGTGATTCCGTAACAAAACCTTCCAAACGTAGCAAGGTCGTCATCTTTGCAATAGTTTTCAAATATGTCTCCTGGGGAATTGGTAGACAATGAAATACATATTTGCATTCACCAAAATGAAGTCTCAGCCATGATCAGGGATACAGATCAATGGAAATGTCTTTATTTAAACATTACTGGTTCCATGCTGGTGTTTCAAAGAAAGAAACCTGTAACTGGATAGCCACAAATGCTGACTGGGGACCCAAAGAGCTTCTTCAGACGTGCTCAAGAGCTTGGGCACATCCAGTGGGATTTTGGGCTTTTTAAAAAGATTGTTCTTGTGGTCTTGGAATTCTGTGCCAAATCAAAACCTGGTTTCGTGGTCAATTCCATTTCAAAGACTGCAGTACTCCGGTAGCTGGCATGAGGAACCGCTACGTGCTTTGGACAGGCAGAAGAAGTTAAGCAGCCTGTTCTGTCATGGGCATGTTTCAGAATTTGCTAACAGCTGTGCATGCTGAGAAAAGGTACTCATTTATTTTGATTCCCCCCCCCTGAAATTTATTTCCAGACAGACATCTTGTTTTTGGGCTTTTCATATTCTATCCCATGAGTAGGCAGAAAGCCGTTCTCTGTATGCTTTAGACGTCAACTTCCAGCATTCCTAGCTCTTGGCCATACTGGCAAGGGCTTCTGGGAGATGAAATCCAAAATATACAGAGTTCTAACTTCTTGCTTACTCTTACTCCAAGCCAGCCTTCCCAACCTGCTGTCCTTCAGGTGTGTTGGATGACAATGCCCAGCAAGTAGAGCTGCGAGTTGTGATCCAACACGACTGATGTGCACCAGGTTGGGGAAGGCTCTCTGTGGTAAGTCCTCTTTGTAGCAGTATTGCTGGCATCTGATTTACAGTCAGGGTATGAGGCAGCTTTAAAGAAGAAAAACACATGAATAGATTTCCGTTGCAGTGATTGTTTTAAGAGAAGGGCAAACACTTAAGGAGGAAGCCTATCAGAAAACACACTTCCTGTGCAAGCCTGATAAAAGCTGGACCAGAGCATGCCTGGGACACCTGGGCTGTGAAGCCTTTGAAAGTGTATGACTACATAACGGATCATTATCTTTCCTTCAAAATGCTATTGTGGGGATTTTGGCACAAGGCATAATTGAAATGTAGAATATGTAGCAAAGTCTGCAATGCAGGGTGAGTTAGGAAGTTTGGTTTGGTTTGGTTCTGTTTGTTTGTTTGTTTTTATAGTAAGTCTGAATTATAATTTTTGGTGCATTTTCAGTAGAACAGTTTGGGATGTGAATGTAAGAAGCCATAAGATCTAGAAACTTGCTGTTCCAGGATTTTTAATTTGCTGTTTATTTTTTAAATATGAAACTCAGCTTTTCAGAATAGAAAATTGTGACTCGGTATTAAATCCTACCTAAATACACACAGTCCTGATTAGTGGATAAGAAAATAGAAACCAGGGGAAAAGTTTAATCTAGGTAATCATAATAGGAACAATCAGATGTCTATAAACTCAGCAATAAGGATAATCCACAATGGATTAACTTACCTTCTGTATATTCTCCGAATGTCACATATCCACATGTAGCAAACACCAAGCTGACAAACACGGCAAACAGAACAGACACGTGTGTGATGTGAGCCCAATTCCTCAGGGTGGGTTCTTTCAGAGAGCCATAAATTAAAAAACTGTTGTGATGGCAAATGAATGCTGAAAGAGGTATAGTAGTTAAAAATTGTGCAAAATATAAACATGCATATATATTTAATAAACTTGTTTTAGGGCAGATGTATTGTAAGGTAGTTGAAATGCAGGATGTTGAAAATAGGCTAGAGGGGCCTAGCTTGTAATTTAGAGGGCAAGAACATCATGTGCTAATCTTTGGGAGCTACTCTAGGAGACTTTTGGATGAAAGAATGGAGCAAAAATACTTTAAAGAAACAAACATGCACAGACAACTTAATACGTTCAGTGAGCAAGTTGTGTACAGACATATTCATCTCCCACTAATATCAGTGAGGCCTCAACAAAGCTAGATATTATGCTAAACGCAGAGGTACTATTTTGACTACTCGCCATACCTTTTGCATCCCCTTCCTCTTCTGCATCCCTTCTAACCAGTCAGTCTTAGGGGAGAGCAACCCTGACTGCTCTTTAGAAGGCCAGATCCTGAACGTGAAACTCAACTACTTTGGCCACCTAATGAGAAGGAAGGACTCCCTGGAGAAGAGCCTAATGCTGGGAACAAGTGACGGCAAAAGGAGAAGGGGACGGCAGAGGATGAGGTGGCTGGATGGAGTCACTGAAGCAGTTGGCGTGAGCTTAAGTGGACCTCGGGGGATGGTGGAGGACAGGAAGGCCTGGAGGAGTGTTGTCCATGGGGTCGCAATGGGTCGGACACGACTTCGCGACTAACAACAACCACCTCTTCTGCAGTGCCTTGCAGAGCTTACCACTGGCCTGGTGTTGCAACGCAGTTTCCTTCTCCCGCTCTGTATCACTGACTGCTGTGGGTGGGTGGTGGGCAAACACATCCTATGCGGACAGCTCCTCACAGATGTTGCTCCAGGCTGGAGCTAAGCAGCCACTTGTTTCCTGCAAGGTCTAGCAGGGTCCTTAATGCACCTGGCTTTGGTTGGGCCGTGCCCATCCAGTGTGATGACACAAGTGAGGCATAAACCACACAAAGTGAACATGATATATTCATGTCAACCAGGGATGAAGAATGTGGGGTTCTGTAGGCATTGTTGGAAGGACAACTTCCATTATGCCTCCCCACCGGCTAAGCAGATGAGAGCTGGCAAGGGCCACAGGCCTTCATCTGGATGGCGGCACATTAGCTGACCCTTATCGGAAACGCTTGCAGTGCTGCTGCTTCCACAAGACCCTCATCTTTCACCAGGTGCTACCACCTTTCTCTCCTTAAGGATCTATTTCTAGCTTCACCTCCAGGGATGGAAATCATGCCACGTGTTCCACAAAGGTATTGTAGCTCCTCTGGAAGCAAGAATGAAACATGCTCTCTAGCGAATCTCCTCCATCCCCGCCACCAAATTACTGTATATTGTTGAATGCGGCACTTTCATTTCTGGATCCTTTCACTACAGGGCTGTAACACAATTCCGCAAATGCATTAACAATGAGAGCCTCATTAGGAGCTTAGCTGGCACAGAAATACAGTGAGAAGAAAAGCCCAGAGAAGAACTTGCACACTGGATGTGATCTGTGAAAGGAAGATATTACCCTCTATCACCATTCTGCCATAAATAAAAGGCAACTCTCATCAAGGCTGGGGGGTTTGCATCACAAAACCAGTCTGGGATTATTCCACTATACATGACAATCAGGTCACCCTTCAATTTCCACAAATCCATCCATCGGTTATGATGTCCCATGAACATTATTGGTTTTTGGTTTTTTGTAAGCTGTCCAGAGACTTTTAGTATTGGGATAGCATATAAAAATGTTACATAAATAAAAAAATAAGACAAAATGCCAAGCAAACCCAGAAGCATAAGACTTGCACTGATGCAAAAGGAACCTCAGACTAGTTTGCAGACTGCTGATTCCTCCGAAATGTTCCGTAAATCCTGGACACATACCAAATGACATCACTCCAATGGCTTGTATTGCATTTGGCTTTGCAAACACCCAAGGATTTTCTGACTGGGATCTGGAAAAAGAGAACTATTGTAAGGCTGCTACTTTTCCTGTGACCAAAATCTCAAAACGCACGGAATGCTGTGGATTAATAGCAATGGACAGCTAGAGCGTTTGGGGCTCTGCAGAAAGGGGCCCCCGTTCTCTTGGGTCACAATGTCTTCAGGTAGATCCATCTGATTCTGAGTAGGAGGCGGAGGGGCAGCGGTAGGCAGAGCACCCAGCAATTTCAGGTTACCTAGGGAAGCGTCCCCAGCAGAGCATAAGAAGCAGCCTGCCTTGGAAAGGGAAGAGGCTTTTCAGGCTGGAGTGGGAGCAAATGCAGGAAAAGCTCCTTGAGCCAGTCAGGCGACAACAGGGGAAACCAACGGGCTGATTACGAAGTTTTTCCTGTGGTCCAGTCCTCCAGTAGCGGAGGTGGAGACAGAATCTTTTCGGCAAGGGAGAGAAGCAGAGGAAGTTTCAGTTTGGACTCAACTCCTGGCATGAGCCGATGCTTCTGTCACCTCTCAAGGAGAATGCGGTCTTGATTTATACTATTTGGTAACCTGTCAAGCTTTAATAAAAAGACGGTGCTTCTAAAGTTTCATCAGAGTCTCCTGGAGTGGAAAAGAGGGAGGGAGCCATTCACAACAGACAAGGATGTAGTGCTCTTTTTAAAATGAGGAGAACTAAGGCTTTTACTTCTCTCCTTGCAGCCATTTAGGACTGTGTTGCTAAACACAGCTTTCTACACTTGGCTCTAATAAAACTTAGTGCATCCAATCCAGGGATCCCCAACCTATTTGGACCCACGGCTGTATCTGGGAAACTACTGTGGCTGTCACCGCAAGCAGCTCCCACAGAGCATGTGACTGGGAGTCCCAAGCCTGCTGAAAGTCAGCTAAAGAGAGGCGGGCATGGAGAAATAGTGAGGCTGGAGGCTGGGAAGGAAGAGAAATAGCAAGACCAAGAGGCGGGGGGAGACAGAGAGCAGGTCTAGACGCTGGAGGGGACAACTGTGAACTAAAAAAGTGGGGGGAATAGGCATACGCTAGACAGAGCAAGGAAGGCTGCCCTGACATTTTCCAACCATTAATTTAAAACTCTACTCTTAATTCCCATCATATTACAGAACAAGGCACATGAATAATAAAGCAAGTTGCAGAACGCAGAGTCAGCAAACACAGAGGTGGAGGCCCAACTTTTGAACACGTCACTTAGCTGAAGGGGTCAAGAAACCCCTTCCCCTTCACTGACCATGCAAAAATGCCCCTCAGTCTGCAGCCCGTTTAAGTTGCAAGTGAAAATCCTGCAGGGGCATGACTGTATTTGATCGGTAAGCAGCAAAAAGGAAAGGAGGTGGAGCTGGAGGGCAGAATAGCCCCAGCCAGCAGGGTGAAGTTGCACGGCACCAGTGTGTGCCCCTTTTTATGTGGGGGGGGGGGTGCTGTTACCTGCCATATCAGTGGCTGCACCTTTGGAGAGCCAAAAGACAACTGGAGACCACTGGGACAGGGCTGTCCAGAGGAAAGGGCACAGCAGTCTCACATAATCTGTGCAGCTTACAGATTAGCTTTTCCAAGTACTATTCGCTCTAGCCAATTCAACTCGAGGTTTTTAGTGGGTTTTTTAAAAATTCTCCCCAGTTTTTGAATGGCTTTCTGCTCCAGAACATGTTCTTCTTGTTGTTGCTTTAATATTTATCATCTACTCAGGCCTGAAAAGCATCTGCATTCCTTAGAAATAATTTCTTCTTCTTTTAAAAACATGCTTATGAATAATAATTAATCCTAAAACTAATTCACTCTGCTTTTAAATAAATGCTAGCTGTCATTTCCTTTCTTGCTCTAAGACGTGTTTTAAAGGAAGAGTTGTGTTTAATGGAATTTGCTGGCAGGTGATGTGTGTATCAGACTGTAGACTCAAGTATGTTTCTACATTCATCTTTTTAAGTGTGTGGTGTGGATGTGTAATTTACAACATCCATCCTCATGTGTCCAACTCAGGCAAGCTGCACCCCTCATTGTTTAAGAGCTGAAAGGGCCCAGACTTGGTGCTTGGGCAACTTTTTGTCTTGGGTCAGATGGTGGTGGGGGTGCTGCTCTTTGAATGCTTTGCTGTTAGGCCCGAGTATGACTCATTAGTGGCTTTTGTAAAGGGTGGGTGTGCATTTCTTAATACTGCATGATTCTTTAACTGTTGCCATCCTGCAATTTTTAGTGACTCATCCTGAAATGTGGCATTTTTGTAGTGCAAAATGCTTCTGACGTTGTGAGCCGTCTGAGCTGGGCGAAGGCTGTGGCGTGTGGCCTCACCCTGGTACTGCCCTGGTAGCTGCACTGTGTCACCATCTACTTTTAAAGCAGAGAACACAAAGGGTGAGGGTAGGAGCAGGTAACTTGTGGTCCTCCAGGCATTTCGGTTCACGCCTGTATCAGCGCTTCCCAGTGTGGCCAATGGCAAGAGTCGCTGGGAGGCACGGGCCAAAGTGTCTGGCAGAGGAGCTTCCTCCCCTGGTTAAAGCCGTGGGACTCCGGAGTAATTCTCATGGGTGGGTGACCTACACAATGTTCCAGAGCAAGTATAATAAGCAGGGCACGCTCCAAAGCGCTCACCCCTTCATGTGGGGGCCAATTGATGGAGCTGCACATAACGATCTCCTAAACACGCTGCTTGTGCAGGACTTTTCGTGAGCCCTTAAAATGGCTGGGGAAAGTAATATAATGGGTAGGGCAAGAGGCACGGCATGGGAGGCACCTGCAGAAACAAAGGAAATGATTGAAAAGGACCGAAACAGACAAAGGGGGCTTTTCTTAATCTCCCCCCTCCCCCACACTTGACTGTTAACACCTTTGTGACTGTTTCAATTAAGGGTAGGCAACTGCGAGGGCTCTGAGGACCACTTTTGCCTCCCAGGTTCCTTCTCTCTGCAGGTCGAAGTTGGACAACAAAAACGGTGTCAGACCGTCAAGTCCGGTGTGCTGGATCAGCAATGAAACTCTAAAATGAAAAGGCTGAGCCTGGGACTGGATGGCTGAAAGAGGCTCTGCACACCACTCACAATCATGCCTTTTTATGCCGACCGAAAACAACATCTTCATAAAACAGGGTCCTATTGCAGCCTTCCTGCAATTCAGGATTCCTCCCACAAGAGGTCTGCTTTTGTATCTGATGGGGATCTTTTAATAGCATCTCTTATGCCACCATTTCTCATGCAGGTGCACCCTGGGTGTGCTGGCCTACTAGTTCCATCAGTCACAGCCAGCATGGCCCAACCCTGCCAGCACCCTGCCTGTTCAAAAAATAAAGGCCGGAAATCCGTCTGACCGAAGGCAGCTTGTGAGCTGTAAATAGTGAGTGGAAAACAACACAGCTCCCGCCAAAACGTGCACTTACGGGAGAGAGCTGCCTACTCAGCCAGCATGCTGCTGTTTTCACCAGAATTAATTTAATTAATTAAATTTTTCGATTTATATCCTGCCTTTTTCCTACAAAGGGCTCAGGGCAGCTTATATCTCCTCCATCTTATCCCCAAAACAACAACCCTGTGAGGTAGGCTGGGCTGAGAGTCGCCATGAACAAGCGCCGCTGCTGGGCTGCAGCTTCTTCTCCAGCAACGAGTGCTAAAGGGCAGGGAGAGCACTTGCCGCCCTCCCCCAGGGCAGTATCCTCAGCCTCTGCAGAAACAAGCGCCTCTTCTCTGTTCAGACTTTGCACCAACAGCACAAAAAAGCAGGTGCAAATCCTTCGCATGCACACACTCCCTGCGAGGCCCAAAGCCACTCGGATTCCTTCCTCCGAATCGCCACTCTTCTTGTGATGCCCAACAGAAAGGTGCCGGGAGGGGGGTGTTCTCGCTTCTCACTTGGAACGAGACTGCGAGTGGGTGAAATCCATGAATCACCACTTTGCCATGGAAATTTGGAAGCGTGTGTGCGAGGGGCCGCCTACACTCCCAACATGTGCCTCCTTACCCCCCTCCCCAAAATATTTCTGAAACCATTCCAATTATATCGCCAAGTTGAGAACACAGGAACCACACCCTTCAGATACTGAAAAGAATGATGGGGTTTTTCTGTGAGAGGAAAAGGAAGCTTTTTGCTAAGAGATGCCAGGGGAGGGGGAAATAAGGCCAAGATGGAGCAGGGAGAAGACAGTGACCGACAACCTGCTCCGGCACAAGGTGGGCCCAGCTGCTGCTGCCCCCTTGCATTGCCACAGCATCCTTTCCTAAGCACCTGCATTGACGGCATCATTACTCAAAGCATTATATGCTGTTCAAATTCCTAAACCTGTCTCACTTTTCAGCATTGCATTAATTAATGGAGAACATTAACTGCCTGCTGCAATTGTTTTCTTAAGAAATCCTCTGGAAAATTGCATTTAAGATGCTGAATGAATTTTCACTGAAAATAGAGATTTCTTAAATATGCATTTTGATACAAGTTTTGAAGCTGAGGAGTGAATATAACATTTGGAGAAATGTGAAATCTGATGGATTTTCATTCCCATCCAGATGGCTCAGTTCAGATTTATTTTATTTATTTATTTATTAAAACATTTTTATGCCGCCCCATTCACTGAAGCCTCGGGGCGGCTTACAACAATAAATTAGAATCAACATAAATAAAAATTAAAATATATACATTAGAATAATAATTATTATTTACACACACACACACACTATAAAATAAGCCGCCCTGGCCAGATAAAATTCAATAGTATTAACATTTAAAATGCTGCTTAAATAAAAAGGTCCGCCTGGCGCCGCCGTCATTTGTTTTTCGGCGCCAGGCGAACCTCTCTGGGGAGCACATTCCATAACTTAGGCGCCACCGCTGAGAAAGCCCTCCTCCGAGTAACCACCCTCCTAATTTCTTCCATGGAGGGCTCCCGGAGAAGGGCCTCTCCCACCGATCTCAGGGGGCGGGCAGACATATATGGATGCAAGCGCTCCTTCAGGTAACCAGGACCCAAGCCGTTTAGGGCTTTATAGGTCATCACCAACACCTTGAATTGGGCCCGGACTTCAATGGGGAGCCAGTGAAGCTGACGGAGAACTGGAGTCATGTGAACATAACGTCCAGTCCCCGTCAGCAGCCTGGCAGCTCTATTTTGAACCAATTGAAGTATCCGGACCATCTTCAAGGGTAGCCCCACGTAGAGCGCGTTACAGAAGTCAAGACGGGAAGTCACCAGCGCATGAGTCACTGTTGCAAGGCAGTCGTACTCCAGGTAGGGGCGCAGCTGATGAATCAGCCGAAGCTGGAGGAAAGCGCTCCTCGCCACCACTGTCACCTGAGCTTCCAGTGAAAGCTCCGGGTCGAGGAGCACTCCCAAGCTGTGGACCTTGTCCCTAGGAGGGAGTGCAACCCCGTTCAGGACAAGATTCAATTCACCTTCTCCGAAGCCCGAACCGCCAACCAACAGGACCTCCGTCTTGTCTGGATTGAGCTTCAGTTTTCTATTTCTATTCTAATCCACTGGGAAGTGCAGTGCAGGTGAATTCAGATATGAATTTATGATGGTCTAATTTCTCAAACAAGTCTAGAAACTCTGCATAAATATTCCTTTCATGAAGCGCAATTGTAAATTATCTGATGTGTGTACACATATATGTGTAAAACAATAAAATCGTTTCTAAACCAAGTACAAGAAATAGTCCTGTGCTTTGAAGGAGGAGTTGCATCTTGTTTTGTCCCTCCAGACAATAGGTATGTTCAGATGTAACAACAAACCACAGTTTAGCAAAAGCTTCTCATTATGTCTGAACCCAGCATCCATGGTGAAGTGCAGTACATTTGGTCTCCATGGAACTATGCAGGGAAGCAGTGGCTTGTTATAAGGTTGCCATGTTTCACCATGGCTTGTTTGCCTGTCTGAACCAAACTGCCATGTTGTCGCAGTTTCCACACTTTCACCATCAGGTCTTGCAGCAAGAGCGGCCAGGATTGCAGCAGGCACCAGCCTGCACTGTCCACTGTCCTGTTCTGCCTAGCAACTACTTCACTGGAGCCGGCCTTGTTCCGATTAGCTGCCTCACTCTCCTTTTTCTTTCTCCACGCACAGCTGGATGCCCAGCTGCAGCGCTGGAATTTTAGTGGCAGCAGAGATCGTGGCACACTGCCTCCAGCAGCAGAGAGAGCCACGCTTGGCACTCCGGTCTGGCCGGCACTTCACTGGAGCGGCAACTGGAAATTTGTTTTATTTATGAATTATTTTATTTATTAAATTTATTTAAAAGCCATCCATTAGCATCATGTTCTCTGAATTCTTGTGCTACCCTGGGAACCAGCAGTCTCACAGAGGAATTACTGTTAATGGTGAATACTACTCACTCCTCTTTTGACTTTGCTCAACAAGTCTGCGGCCTCCAAAACCTATTTGAAAACACATGACACTGGGACAAAACCACTGATTATGTAGACTGTGTACACAGTCTCGAGTCCCATTCAGCTCTCATAGAAAACACCAGGAGTCCCCACCAATAAACTGTATGTATTTCACAGTTTTGGAGAGCCAGAAATGACAGGATACTTACATCTGTGAACTAAATGTTATTGTCCTTATAATCCCAATAACCAGGATGACAATCGTTAAAATTATAGAGATAAACGATACCTGCAGAAAGCAGTAAAATATTAAATTAAAAGCTTTTAGTAGCTTATAGTCAAAACTTTCAGAAATGACAAAAGCATAATCTTATTTTTCAAATAGGAGAAAGACAGAGAATCCATGATCAAGAGTAAGCATCGGACCATTACAGCTGTCATTTTAATATTAAAACACATGGGGTTATATCTAATATTAGTCAAATGTAAGCCCTGCTCGTTTCCAGGAGTCTGTGTATGACTAATATTACATAGAACCCAAACTGATGAAGAAACAAAGGCAAAACATAAAGCATATCACTCTGAAACTAACACATTTTTAAAAGGTGGTGCATTTTGTTTATTGGTATTGGTTGCAACCTTAAATGATTTCAGTAATATGTAGGGCTGCAAACCTGCTCTCCAAGCACATCAAGTGCAACTGGGCACTCTAGTTCCACAGACAGTAGCATAAAAAATATTCACATCCCTTTTCCATTAAAAAAAAGTGCCCATGAAAACTTATAAAATCAATTCCAGATAATAAAAAACACACAACATGATACCATGGATATCACATTAATTCATACACAAGTTTTATCAAGTGTTTTATAATTCATACACAAGTTTTATCGCACCCAAGATAAAAGTTTTATCGCACATAAAAGAGCCGTGCAACTTTTGATTATCTGACTTGAACATCCTCTAAAGTTCTAGCCAAGATCTAGATTTTTTTTCTGTAATGATTTACCTTCCCCAGTTTTGATATATTTCGATAAAGAGAAAGAGGAAGGGTGAAGATGATGGTAACACACAGAATAAGGACATGGCGACCAATAAATAAATTATCTCGACCAACTGTTTAAAAGAGAGAGAGAGAGAGAGAATTAAGGTGTATACTTCTATAAGTAATTGAGGTTTGATTGCTCATTCAACAACAGACTCAGCATCCAAAATTAGGCTGAATTTAGAAAAGGATAGAGTAAATGTTGCAAAAATTCTGTTCACACGGCCTGCCAATTTATTACCACAATAGCATGGATGAGAAGTGAGATGAAAAATTAGTCTAAGGGTAAAATCCAGATTTGTCTGTCCACCAAAGGAACAGTGTCAGTGGAACAGATTGCCTCTCTTCACTGCAGTCTCCCACGCCTCCAAATCTGCTCAGGTGGGCTGGAGGACCTCCCCAATCAGAGCTTGGGGGTATGTAGAAGGCAGAAGTGTGGAAGGGATGGGAGGAAAGTTTTTTCCACAGAGATGGCATTCAATAAAGTCTGCTCATGTAGCACTCAATGACAACACTAATTAAAATGCAGTATTTTCTAATTATTCAGTTCTGAGTATCAGTTGGCTGAGGTTTTGGGGAACTTGTTTAAAATTCCAATTAGCTGCAAACAATATTAAATATGGAGGTATTATAAAGAACTGAGCTCATGACACAAGCCTTGCAATCTCATTTTTAATGTAATTATGAAGCAGACTATTTCCTAGTAAGAATTCTCCAATGTTGTACAGCTACGAATTGCAGGTAATACACAAGTTTGTTTTGCATAAATGTACTCCATGTTCATGCTTTATTGTGAATGTTTTAATTTTTTGTGCAACAACCAGTAACTGGAAGGTAGGGGCAAAATTTGGTTAGCTGATGGGAAAGTCAGTCACAAAACTGGAAGAAAGTGACTGCAGGCTATGAGGAAGGATCATGCAGTTAGTCATGAAAGGAGCCAATGCTCCATCCCAGCAAAAAAGTGGAGACTTTTTAGATACCAAATCCCTGAATCCATAAGGAGCAGGAACCTGCCTTTCTAAAATGCAACCAGCTATTCTCAGTTCCTGAGCAACTGGGTCAAATTATTTACCAGCTACCAACACCTGAGCCTCCAAGAATCTCAAAGAACAGGGGATCACTGCATAAAATAAGCTTTTAGCAGGGGTTTTAACTTTAAAAAATGCAAAGAGTTTGACTAGCTTTCCTAATATACTATATGATAATATTCACCAGGAAGAACAAAAAACCCCAAAAGACTTACCTCCAGGAATTCTTTGGAAAACTTTCGTCAAAGTATCTCCTGTTATAATGTTGTAGCTAATCATGGCTAAATAAAAAAGGAGGTGCTTTATTTATATTATTTTGAAAGCTAACGTTTAAGACTAAACATACACATCTGCCAGTTGAAAAGATCGTAGAAAGGACCCCCCTGCAACCCACGTGCACCGTCCAACTCTGCTCTGGAGGAATTGCCAAGACTCCAAAGCAGATTTGGCAGTACAAAGGGGAAGAAAAGTTCCACTACAGAACGCTAGAGGGCACCCAAACAGAATTTCGTTAGAGGCAAGCTGTGCTTTCCCTGAGCATGCAATTCCATGTTAATTACTCCTCAGCTGAAATCTTAAATATACAGGGTAAGCCTCATTGAACTTGGTGGGACATGCACAGGAGTAAACTCTTAAAGTGATCTCCTTCCTGCCTTCCTACATCCAGAAGCTCTTTCAAATATGGGGTGTTGCTCTCTGGTTTTCTTAAGCAGAACCGGAAACTGTTTTCATATTTATTATTTTAATATTTGCATTAGCCGTTAAGAATGGGGATCTAAACAGATGGTTGAGCATTGCTGTTGGATTCTGTGGTTCAGGCACTTTTTTTTTTGAAACTTTAAAAATGCTTTTAAGGTTTCCGCTGTCTTCTATGGAAATCATGACCAGTCAGCATTTTAAAATCAACTCCCGGAGTTCGGGTCTGTGTGTTGACATTCATCATTAAACTGTAAAATCAACTATAGCAGAAAACTAGTGGTACCTGGACAGAGGGAGGGAGGCAGGGACACTGCTAAAAGAAACAAACAAGCAAGCAAACAACCAACAAGGAAAGTCAGCCATATGAATTTGTAATTTAAAAATCACAGTCTAGAGTTCAGTAATACTTTTATTAGAATGTAACAAAAATGCTACAAAATAATTATCAAGATTAGGAATTCTCCAGGTCTTTTCAGGGCTGCAGAATGGCAGAATTTCCCCAAGGAGTCCTTCCATGGGTACAAGGGAAGAGTAAGGGAAGTTGTGGGACCACACAGGCTTCCTTGCTAGTGATGTACCCAGTGGCTACATGCACCATTGGAACATTTCAAGTACATCAAAAGGGACTTCACCCATCTACACAAATAGAGCTCCTCCACACATGCAGACATTTCTTATTGGGTCCCACAATTCTGCTCTCAATTCTTTCCCCGTGTGTAGGGGTTGCATGAATCTCCCTTTCATCAGGCTGAATGTGAAGCAACAGCAAGGTTGAAAGACACACAGAGAAGAAAAACCACTAGTTTGATCTAGCCATAAACAGAATTTTAACCTCCAGTTTTCTTCTTTTACAGAATTGCTCATCATGCACTTGCAGTGTGACCTTACCAATAAAAGGATATAAAAACTGGAGAGCGGAAAGAATGAGGTGCCCTACAAAGCCATAAGCTTTATTGACCAGTGCTTGATAGCTGTTGGTTCCAGACAGATGCCCTCCTTTAATCAACAGTATAATAGAATAATCTGTTGTGGAGAGAGAGAAAATAATAATGCAAGAAATTCTGTTAAAAATCATCTCTTTTGGATCAGGCACTCTTTAAATACTTTAAAAAAGAAGCAGACAGAGAAAGGCCCAGGTGGATAAGGACTGCACACTTGGAAAAATGCTGTGGTGGTTGTGAAAATGGGGAAGATTTTGCAGAAAACTGAAGTGTCAGATCTGTGCTCTCAAGCAGAGGGGGAGACTTCTGCTGCCCATTCTGTCGAGAGAACAGACCTATTCATTTGGTAGGCAGAAAAGGGACCCCACTGATCCCATTAGATGGTTAAGCCAGTGGGGTCATTCCCTCCAGTCACATCTCCTGCATGGGTGGTGTTCACAGGCATCCCTTGCCATGGAAGGTGATGTGGCCCAGATGTTTCACCATAAAACTCCAAGAAGTCCCAAGCACTGGTCACACCAGCTAGGATTTCCAGGAACTGGAGCCCAAAGCATCTGGAGAAGGCTACTAGGTCGCCTGCCTCCCCATCGTGTACCTAGCCGCCTTCTTTTGCATGTACTCTGCATTAGGAGTGCAGTTTGTGTCTGTACACATGCTGTGATTTGGCAGAAACTGAGCTACTGGAGCAAGGCAAGGTCTGGGTGTGAATGCGATCCCCTTGCTCAGACATACAGCTCTCAAGATTTACACAGCCTTCCCCAACCAGCTGTTCTCCAGATGCCTGGCCAAGGGGTGTTGCAGTCCAACACATCTGGAGGACACATGGTTTAATTCAATTGTTTTAAAATTGAGTTCTGCATGCCTGAAATATGTCACTGACACAGAATAGTTGTGGCATTGTATATTTCTTACTTGTTTTGTTACACTTCCTCGGAAGAATTCAAGACACCACAGATCGTTCCTCACCCCCCCGCCAACTATCCACATTTTTCCTCATGACAAACTTGTGAGCTAGCTCAGATCAAAAGAAAACGATTGCCCAGGACCACCCAGTGAGCTCCATGGCCAAGTGAGGAGCTGGGCCTACCTCTGCCTCGGCTGTAGTATGAAGTCCCCAGACCACACTGACTCTTACACATGAGAATATAAGACGTGTAACTAAATCTGTAAAGTTCCTTATAGATTTAGTGTTTTGATTAAAATAGGAATGCTAAATCCTTGGTTTTGCACTGGAAATGCACTCATTTGCAATTCTAATTGGCAAGCACTAAAATTAAGTGATTTGCAAAAATCTACCTTTCCTGCCACCCTAATCTTGTAGAGGAAAGAATATCTAGCATGGCACAAAGCTCTACTTTTCCTAATCATCTTGTAAGATTTGTTTAAATAAAGATGTTTTGCATATCCCACACATCTTAATGCCTGGATCAAACAGCCTACTGTTGATTGAAAATCTTAACACTTTTGCCACTTGGCAACAGCAATAGTATTTAAAATGATACCTGTGATGCAAGCAACACCCAATAGGAGCAATATTCCCAGTGGAAAGCCAGCTTGCTTCAAAGAATAGGGCAGGCCTGTGGGCACAAAGCAAGCAAGCTAGCGACAGTGAAGAGATTTAAAATGCAATAACAGATTTAAAGCAGAAACTGAAAAATGGAATGCCTGGGAAAATAAAATGGCTGGCACAGAAAGGAGCACAGTGTATGTGCCAGCTAAGCCTCTCTGGAAAGCTCCTTCCACAATCAGGAGCCACAAGAGAAAAGACTCTTCTTAGTAACTACCCAGCCCATTTCCTTTGGTGGGGGCTCTCAGAGAGGAATTGCTGAAGACAATTTTTGGCTCCAGGAAAGAATATAAATGAGGAAACTATAGTTCAGGTGACCCCAAGCTGTTTAGGGCTTTGATGGTTGATACCAGCACTATGGATCAGGCCCAAACATGGACTGGTGGCCAGGGCAGATGGAGAAGTGCTGGCATAATACGATCATGCTGGCCAATCTCACCACCCTCTTCTGAGGCACTGAATCCCCCATTTTCAACATAGTCCCATGTATAGCACATTCCAGTAATTTAGATGTGAGGCTCTCAGAGCATGGATAACTAGTCTACTCTGCCCAGGTAACTGTAGCGATGATGCTGGATCCAAACTATGAACCAGATTCTTTAGTAGGATTGCAACCTCCTCCAGAACATGTTGAACATCACTTTGCTGAGCACGCACTAACAGTAGCTCCATTTTGCCGGGATTGAATCTCCATTTTTTGGCCGTTATCCAGTCTATTACCATGTCCATGCAATGGTTCAGATTGCCCACTGCTTCGCCTAGATTTGATGAAAAGGACAGGCGCAACTCACTGCCATATGCATATGGAGGGCACCTCAATCCATCTCTTCCCCAGCCATTTTGTGCAGATGCTGAATAGCATGGAAGATAAAACAGAGCCCTGTGACACCCTACATTTGAGCAAAAGGCTTATTTATTTATTTCATGTTAAGAAAAAAAGCTCTAAGGTTGGCCATCCTTTATCACAGGGTTGAAGGACCAGTTTCAGGTAGGAGGGCTGGATGACCTCTCTAGCCCTCTGTAGGCCAGAAGACATTAGGAGATGTGGCCACACATCCCTCATATGACTTGGGTCCCATGCAATTCATCCACTGGGGAAAGCCCACAAGCAGGAAAACCACCCCCAGCTGAAGCAAGAACTCAGTGGGCCACCTCCCCCAGGAGAATCCCCTGAAATTCAGAGCAAGGGAATTCCCTTGATATCTCCAAGTGTAGATCAAAGATAATGAGAGGATTACCATCTCTGCCTCAAAGCTGTTAGTCTCTAACCCAAGGGGCATGGCCTGGGGAGGGGAGTGGGCAAGGTGATGGAGGAGACACAATGGAGAAGTTCTGTGGGCCAGATTAGCTGTATGGGCCAGAGGTTCCCCATCCATGCTTTATAAAATGTATACGAGCAAATGGTGGCTAGTTATGGCTTACCCTTGGTCAGTGCCCTCAGTATAATCTGCTGAGGTCTCTAGCCTTGACCATAGACAATAACTGTAAGTATGACTGTTACTTACCACCCCCTCCAAAAATAAACCCAGCTGAAAGTGGCCGTACCTACCTATCATACCAGATCCAATAATAGAGTTGATAACATTAAAAGCAGCTGATGAGAAGTTGCTAGATCCTTGTCTATTCCTCAGTTTGCAAAGGGCTGTCCTTTCATCCATTTCCTCCTGTTTCAATAACGTTAGAAAATAATGTTGATGCTAGAAAAGTATTCACTAAACAGAGAGGGAAAGAAATCAGTCCTTTCTATTCATAGAACTTAGCAAGCCTAAATATGACAAGATTTCCATTTCAGAGCTGCTGCCGCTTCTGAAACAGAAACATTCACAGTTATAAACTGAGTTCCATGAAAAATCTCGGCAGTTATGACAGCATGAATCTAAATGATAACTAGCATCAGAAAGGACTTAAGTGTTGTGCAAATCTCCGCGTAACTAGAACAGCTGCTTTTCAAGATGCTTTAAGGCTGCAACCCTAAACACATTTTCTAGGCAGGAAGTGCCATCAAAGGTAGCTGTGACTTGCTTCTGCAAAAACCTCCAAGTGTAAACTTGGACAGGATTGGTTTACAAGTCCTTCATAAGTAGCAAAACAGAATCTCAGAATAGTACAATGGAATTCAGATAAAAGCAAGTACAACAGAAACTCCAGTCACACGAACTTCAGTTACATCATGATCATGATCATGAAAATGCTTCCCCTCCCTGCTCCAGGACAGGTCATACTAATGTAATGTTACATAGGTAGCATTGGTGTTTATGGGTGAAGATGAAGGACTCCTCAGTAAAGAAGCTGGTTAACCCTACTGCAACTTTTCCTCCCCAACAAACTTTTTCTGGGAAGAAAAGGGACTAAAGGAGCACTGGAGGAACAAGGGAGGGTTACAAATGGAAAGGGGTGGCATCTCTACCTCTTTTCTGCCACACCCTGTAAAATACCGCAGGTGAGGCAGGGCGACTGTGGTATAAAAGGCTCATCTAGAAACAAACTACATTAATTTGAATGTTTGGGATACTGTGCAGGCTACTCAAATGACGTCCCTCTTAGCAGTCTTGGCAACAACTAATCCAATGCAGAACAAAGCAGTTTTCCCTTTAGATGGAAGGTGGGGGATGTCAAGACATTTGTGTTCTACCTCCGTGGAGGAAAAGCTAGATCACAGACCTTCTTCCCATGGCAACAACGCTGTCATTCAGGACCATATACATCACCACTAACAAGCATATGCGTCTTTCTCCCAATCCAAACTCCGTACATTCAGCTGAAAGCACAGGTCTATTATCCTTCAACTTTTGTGCAAGCCATTTTTTCGTGCAAGCCAGAAAGCTGCCCCAACCTTTTTTCCTGCTGCCCCACCAGCCACATCATGGTCTTTGTGTCCACAGCACTCCAAATGCATCATAAAGCAATGCCTGGAGTGATGGAAATTCAACTCTCCTGCCTCTCTGTGCCCACTTCATTCCTGATCCTGCATTCTCTGTTGCTCAACAGGTACTCCCACCAGCTGCTCCTCCCAATAATCATAGAAACATAGAAACTGAGCGAGTCAGAAGGGGCCACCCAGGCCATCTAGAATGACCCCCAGCTCCAGCCAGATCCGCTCACGACATGCCCACCATGTGCATGTCCAGCCTATCATTGAACACCCTCACCATTGGGGCTTCAACCACCTCCCGTGGAAGCCCATTCCATACGTATACGTGATTGTTTTCCTGTCAGTAAAAGGAACTGGGGGTTTAGAGTGTCTTAGTAATGTTTACTTAATTCATACATATACAAGAAAAGTATATTGCTGTCTGATGGACATTCTTCTAATGGGCAAAAAATTCCTAAGTAGAAATTCCAAGTATTTCAAAATGTGTTCTTTTTTCTTGATTCTACTGTTTTTACTATTATTGCATTGTTATTTATAATTTTATATTGTTTCAAACTACCAGAAACAGTCCTGGAAACAAGTGTGTGTGTGTGTGTGTTTCTGTCTGTCTGCCCACTATTATTTATTTATTGCCAATACAGTATTTATATAGAAACATACAAACGCAGAAACAGAGCGAGTCAGAAGGGGCCTCCTGGGCCATCTAGTCTGACCCCCAGCTCCAGCCGGCTCCCCTCACGACATGCCACCATGTGCATGCCTAGCCTATCCTTGAACATCCTCACCAATGGGGCCTGAACCACCTCCCGTGGAAGCCCATTCCTTACCCTCGGAGTCCTAACTGTCAGAAAGTACTTCCTGGCATCTAAATGGAACCTGGGTTCCCTGACCTTTGCTCTATTGAAGTGCGTCCTGCCTTCCTCTGCAGGTCTCTACCCACCTCCGTGTGACATCCCCTCATACACCTGTATGTCACCAACAGATCCCCTCTGAGTCTCCTCTTCTCCAGGCTGAAGAGACCCAGTTCCCTCAGTTCTCTCATACGGCATCCCTTGCAAACTGGCCACCAACCTTGTGGCCCTGCGCTGCGCTGACTCCAACCTGGCTATATCCTTCCTGAATGAGGGGCCAAAAACTCAACACAATATTCCAGTTGCGGGTGCACCAGAGTCATATAGAGTGGTAGTAATACCTCTCTCGATCTAGAAGTCATGCTTCTGGCTAATCCAGCCTATTTCCAAATATCCAAATGAATCCTGCTATTCTGGAGGGTTTTCAACGTAAGCAGTTTGTGCACCATCCCTCCCAGTGAAGTTCTTGACTGATGGGCCCTCAACCTGGCATAGCCTGCAACCCTAAGAAGCTGCAACTCTTTACCCTCTCTGGTCTATGGTGACTGAAGTTAGGGTGACCAGATGCAGAAGAGGATAGGATTCCTATATTTTTATAGTAAAGCAATAATTGTCATGCAAGGTACACCCAATTCCCATCTCCCACACAACTACTTAAATTGCAGGAGACCTGTCTTCTTCTCCAGCAGCAGTTCTCCAGGTTTTCAGAGATGGGTCTTTCCCAAACTGAAGCAGGGATGCCAGGAATCTTGGCCGTTTTACATGCAGAGCAGGTGCTCTATCCCTGAACTACAGGCTCTGCGTGGGATATATTATTACCCAGGAAAGGGATCTTAAGGTCATGCAGATAAGTATAGAAGGAAAGAGTTGGTTCAGTGTGCTGTGGCAGTGAAAATGGCAAATATCCTGCTGGAAATTATTAGATTAAGAACTGAAAGGAAAAATAGAGCAGTCTCATGATGGCACTTGTGGCATAGCGATGACAGGGAGAACTTTATTAATAAACTTACATTGTGTCCTTCCACTAAATTTGTGTTCAAGGCAGCCAATGATAAAATATACTGAAGTACATAATGTCTGCAAAAGCTTGTCCCAGAATAAGTATTATAGTCTGGAAATTGCCATACAAGTCTCTTTGTTGCTTTTGCTGCAAGAAACTAACAGAGCTACCTGTTTGGAAATCAAAACATTAAAACACATCAAATGAAAGCATTGGTTGAAAATGGGTAATGAAAGAAAACACAAAAACAACCAAAAGCACCCCCTGGATTGAAGCATACCTTAGCAGCAGATTGCCTTACAGGATGATAACAAGCGCAGAGCCTGCCTAAATGAAAAAGCATTTGCCTGCTAGCAGGATTAAAACTCTACTGGCCTCCCTTTGTAGGGTTTCCACAGCCTGGGAACTTAGGTCTAGAATTCTAAACACACTGGTTTGGATCCAGAGTTAAACAAATGGAAGCTGGTTGGTGAAAGCAGACTTCCTTGCCTGTCTAGATCCCCCTTCTCATCCAGCAAAGTGCTGCAGAGAGCTCCCAGAGGCTCTGGTGAACTGGATAGGCTGTGGCGCTAGCAGTTTCCCCCCAGACTAGATGAAGGAATCAGCTCCCAAATAGTGCTTCTGCCCAATTTTGAGGAACTCCCTCCATTCTCCCTGCACCTCATTCTCCATGCAAGCAGGGTGCCCTGACCGTCTGTCTTCCACGTTCAAGAAGAGGCTGCTATTAGAAGGTGAATGGAAAATCACTTTCTATCAGCCCAGCTGTGCAAACCTATCTAGGTGCCTTCCCATTCTGGTGCATTCAGATATTTTGGATGCACCTCCCAGAATTCCTCAGCCATGCTGGCTGGAAGATTCCAGGAGTTGCAGTCCAACATCTCTGAGGCCACCAAACAAGCAAATGATTGCATCAGGGACCTGGGAAGGGTTTCCAATATTTGCCTTGTACCCTGGAAGCCTACTGACAAAGAGGGTTATAAATCGGGCACAGAGGTGGTGTTGCAAGTTGCCTATTAGGAGTGGCACCCCAATATCTGGAAGGCCATCTGCCCCACCAGCCTGCTGAAATGAAGGTACCAGTGGCCTGATGATCTCATTGATCTGATTTCCCAACTTAGCTGGCTTTCCACCCACATGTTTCACCTCCTGCTGTTCCTGCTCACCTCACCGTGAATCTCAGCCTTAGGCTTTTTTTTTTTTTCCTCGTGAAATGAGGTGCCCTCCGCTCTTCTTTCCACATCCCTTGTCCATACATCCCTTTTGACAAACAAAGCTATCGTTAGGAGGCCGGGTTTATTTTAAAAAACCGCACACAGAGATGCCCTAAGCATATGCGAATTAGCACTTGCGAACCTGTGCGGCTTTTGTTTCGTTTCGTTTTTGGTTCTGTGGGTCCGCACCGTGGACTGCCTCCGATCAGACGAGATCAATTAAGGGTGTAATCCCAGACATCTTTAGACAGATCAAACGAACAAGTCCTAGAACTCTCATGCTGGGACTCTTCTCGAGTTTAAACGTGCATAGGATGGCGCCTTAAATTAAACTGAAATTAAAACGCCCCCCAAAGCTCAGGCGTTCGCTTACCTGCTGGGCAGGGCTCGGGCTCGGCGTGAGCAATGGATGGTGCTGGACCAGTGCCGCCGCCGCCGCCGCCTCTTCCATGACGGCTCTTGCGCGCTGCCCAAGCGCTTTTCTCTCTCCTGCGCGCGTCTACCAGCGCTGGTGCCGTCCAGAGCCAAGCAGGCAGCCGGGCGGACGCTCGGGGCGGAAAGGGAAGACGCCAGCGCCAGGCTCGCCGGCTCCGGGCCACGTGAAGGGCCCCGGCAGCCGCCAAGCCACGGGCGACACCTAGCAGGGAAAGCGGAGGCGGCGCAGCGCGTGTTGCGCGGGTCAAGCCAGCGGCTCAGGCGCGGGGCGAAGCGGCGCTCTCTCCGCCTTTGGGGTCGCTTTGCGGGACCACCGGCCGGGATTGGAGCGTCGGAGCGAGGCAGAAATCAAGGGGCGAGGAGGGCGTGTCGAGAGACTATCGAAGATCAGCGCCACGTGAGAAAGCCTCGCTGTTCCCTCGGGCCTATCTGGAGCTGGGCGTAAATGTTCCCCTGCGCAGCGATCCCAGCTCGGGTTGCTAGGCTTAGTGCCAGCCGGGGAAGAGCAGTGAAACGATGCGAGGTAGAGGAGCCTTACCAGATATATTCATTTGTTATTAAACTTATATCCCGCCCTTTCCCCTTTTTTGCAAGGCACACAAGGTAGTTCAGATAGCCCTCCTTTCTGTATTATCCTCGCAGGAATTTTGTAAGTTAGGTCACGCTGAGAGCCAGTAATGACCCCAAGTCGGCCAGTGAACTTTATGGCCAAGTGGGGACTAGAACCCGAGGCCCCAGTAAAAAAACAGCCATTTGCACAACACTGGGGTGAAAGTTCTGCAAAGCAATCCCAGGAGCTGAAACGAAGCTCCCCTCACCCTGCACCCGATCACGTGGCTTCGCTTGTCAATCTCTTCCTCAGGAGAAGGAACCTTATCCTCCTGAATTTAGCTAGGGTAATGCATTAGGCTGTCAGTGGCCACTGGTCATGATAGCTCTTTATTCTCATGGGTACCACAGCCGAGGTGCCTCCTTATACCAGCTGCAGAAGAAAACAACCAGCAGGGCACTTGTCCTGTTTGTTGACATCTCTCTGGGGCATCTGGCTGACCAACAGTGCTGGTCAAGTTGGGCCTTTGGTCTGATCTGGTGTGCAGCTGATTATACCTATGTCCTGTATATGAATAATAAATATCACCACTGAAGGGTTTGGATAGTGTATGCTGTATTTTGTCCATATTTTGGGGTTCTGGCAGTTCTCTACAGGTTTGTGAAGTGAATGGTCAGAACATCCTGTTTACAAACTGGAATAGAAAAGGCAATGAAAGCTGTCTGCATGAGGGACAATAGTTTTCCCGTTTCCATAGTAGAAATCAGGTTGCCACAAAAGCTTTTGATTAGATAGCAGGTAATACTCAGGATCCATTTCATAAGTGACTGGATTTTTCATTCAGTACTGGCTTCTGGTGTCTTGAGTCAACAAGTATAGTGGGGGAAATGGAAGAAAGATATCTGGGCTTTATTATCCTCACAGAAGGTTCATTCCCTTTAGGCAATGCCTTTCTTTAACAATGACGCAGGTACAAAGAAGATAAATCAGAGTTTAATAACAGTCTGGTCATTTGTGGCACATTGAAGCTGAGCACACAATTCACCTTCTGTTGTGTTGAACTTCTTTGACTTTTTCACTCTTCTCCACTCTTACTCTTTTCTATCTTGTTACCAAGTTAAGGAGGGCTGATGATCAAGATGTAAATGGTCGGACTCAATCCTTTGGATTGCATTGATCCATCAAACCTGGACAGGTAGATGCTTTAGGCATTTTCCTGACCTATATCAACTTTGCAGATGTTTTCAGCGCAATCATGAATTACTAGATCTAGAAAATGTTTTAAAAAGCTGATCACCACAAGCAATGTAGTACACGCCACCTGGGATGGATGGATGAACAATCCTTTTGCTAGCAAAAGAAATTCATCTGGAGAGCACTGGATGGATGCTGTGGTAGAAAAGGAAAAAATGCTTCTTTGGAAGTCACTCTCCTCACTATAGCACATGCTCTGAAATGGACTCCAAGTATCTGATTGATACATGTTTAAAGAAAAAGTCCTACGACTCCAGCATGTATGTACCAGCCAACAGGGCTACTGAGAGAAGCTAGGAGTTACAGGACGTTTTTGTTTTGTTTTGGTCTGAACATGCATTGATTGTGCCCCAAACTTTGTTTGTCAAGTTGCTTCCAAACAGTCTTTCACCTGTGCTCAATCCCAGGGGTACAGATAGATTATTTTAGACCCTAGACTCAGTGGTCATAGTGAGCCCTTTATGCAGCCCTGGACATTACTTCAGTTGTGAAATGCACCATTAATAATTTTCCCCACCATCACTTCACACTTACAACTTCCCCTACTTGACTGATACCTTAGAATACAAAAAACTGATGGCCAACCCTGCTAAATGAAAGAATACTTTCAGCACATGCAATTTCACATGTTAAACTCGTCTAAATTAAAGCGCCATGATGACTACAGGAGCAATAAGAAGTTTGCCCGACCAGATGCTGACCTATTTGCCTCTGCCCCATAATCCACTGCTATCTGGGTGATCGTTCCACAGCCTGCTAGAGAAATGGAACACTGGCAGGAAACCACAATAGGCAACCAGCCCAGAATTTGGAAACATTGCACAAGATTAGACAGTCTGGAACCAAGTAATACCTTTATATCTGGGAACTCAAAGCTAAATCATAGAATTGTAGAATCACAGTAGAGCTGGAAGGACCGGGGACCATCGGGGCCAACTCCTGCCTGGGTGTGCCTGGGGGAACTTGGTGGCTGACTTGGGCAAAGGTGGGCAAGCATGAGCAGGAAATTCCCCAGGACATTCTGGAACCCCCTCCCCTAGATCATTAGGCCTTAGGTGGCCAACCAGCTTAAGTGCCCCTCAGCTCAGAAGAGCCCCAAATCTGCCTCCCCCCACATCAGGAAATGGTCAGATAGCAGCAAGGGTGGCACTAATACCTTAGGATGTATCATCAGCTTTCTAGCCGAAGAGCTCTGTTTGCTGAAATAATATTGTATCATCAATCAGTTCATTAAGACAATAATGATGATAAATAAGTGGGTGTAAAATCATCCTGGTCCACTGATCTTATCCTTTCCCCAGACAGATAAATTATCCAAGAGAGGCAGAGAAGGACGCCTGATCTGTGTCTTCCTGGCATGGGAGGTGGTGGGTGGGTCCCTGCACTAGGGCACTCAGCACAGATGCAAGATCAGGGTCTAGTCCTACAAGAGCCTGTAAAATTCTGTGACCAGATGCTCCTTGGCTTAGGCTGCAAGGGCATCCCATTTTTCTCTACCGGGTCAGCTAATCACAAATACAAGGCAGTTGCTTGTAAGAGCTCTAATTAGCTCTGTTCAAAGCCACGCTCTAAGAAGTGCACTGTGTGTGACCAGTCATCTGACAGGCTCAGAAGGTTAAAGAAAACCTTTCACTCCACAGCAGCTTATGCTGCTCCCAACCCCCATCACGGCCATTCCCACTGTCATTATACACGGTTGGCTTATGATAAACCACGGAGGTCAAGATGGGACCACTTCACACAGGATGGATGCCTTCAAAGCACTGTCAAATAAAAATGCCAAAAGGCTGTTACGAATAATCTCACAAATCTGTGATGGATTTTGTTGAAGCAAGTGAACAGCATTTTGTATTCTCACAGGGATTTTTATTTTAAAGCTGGTATCTGTATTTGCAATTGCCTGAAGTGCTGCAGTTGTTTGAAGCCTATTGAGGGAGGAGGCACAATACATGAGTTTAGGGGGAAAGGGGCTTACAAGTTCCAGCATTCCCCAGCAAATTCCCCTTGCTGGCTGAGGCATGCTGGGAATTGTAGGAATTATTGGCGGGCTGAACAAGCGTGGGATTGCAGCCTTAGGGATTTGATTCAGGCTTAATACCTCCCTCTTCTTGAGTGGATGCAATGGCAAGGCCTCTTAGAGCATAGTGCAGGCCGATTTGCAAGGTTCCTCTTCCTCACATGCAGAGGTATGAAAATCCACAATCATAAGCTCACTTCGGAGACAGTTTCCGTTTCTCTTAAAGTAGAGGCAAACTTGTTAGAAAGAGCCAAAACTTGTCCTTTTAGGGCAGCAGCAATTTAGGGCACAGCTATAGAGAAAAGTTGCTTGATAACTCTCTATCCTGCCTTTTTTCTTACAAAGAACTCAAAGTGGCTTCCATGATGTAATGCTGGGTAGGAAAGGATGCTGGAACGCTGACTGGAATCAGCATAAGTCCTAGGCCCCCCCTTCCTGCCCTCCCCACTCTTTGGGACCCCCCCCCCCACACACACAATATGCATTTCTTAAGAATAAGTCATGGCAAACTAACTTAATCTCATTCTTTAATTGGGTTACCACCTAAATGGACAGAGGAAATGCATAATTTCCCTAGACTTCAGTGCCCTGTGACATCCTAATCAATAAATTAGCAAAATGTGGACTTGACAGAACTGCTATTAGTTGGAACCACAAGTGGCTACTAAATTGGTCACAGAGACTGATCAGCAATGGTAGCTTCCCAACCGGAGAGAAGTTACAAGTGGGCAACACAGGGCTCAATCCTGGGACCAGTACTCTTCAACATCTTTATTAATTATCTTGATGAGGAAATCCAGGAAATGATAATTAAATTTGTGGGTGATGCTAAGCTGGTTGGAAGCTAGTACCCTGGAAGACAAAAAGAAGATCCAGTGGACAATGATCTGAGATATTTCAGACAAGCTTGAACAGTGGGCAGAAAACAACAGAATGAAATTCAACTAGGACAAAGGCCAAGTTCTGCAGCTAGGCAAAAATCAATCAATCAATAAATCAGCTGCATTGAAAAAAGATGGGAATGAGAGTGAAAGGGACTTTGGAGTTGTTGTAGACATCAAGCTAAATATGAGCCAGCAGGGTGATGCAACCGCAAAAAAAGGCAAACACTCTTTTGGGGTGCATAAAGAGAGATATCCCTCTCAGAAAAAGAGAGGGAAATACTCATTCCCTGCTACTCTGCATTAGTCAGTGT